GACTAGAAAAGGAACTACTATTCTTAATCGCTTTACGTAAATAACCATAAACGTTTTCAACTAAACGTGTAGACAGTAGTATGACTTCAATGTGGACAAAGAATTCAGCCTAAGAAAGAATCTCTTTTTAATTTTCTAAATAAGCAGATAATAAATGATTAAACGACCATTTTTTGCAACCAACCATATTTCCATCCTCAGACAAAATTCTTCAATACTTAATACTTCCAAGACTTCAAAGTTACTCACTAAATAATTTAATGTGTTCAATACTTCAATATTGAATACTACTAAGTTCTCTCTGTAGATCCAACCAATGATAATATAAAAAGTGATTCTTCAAATACTACGAAACAAGTAAAAATCACTTGTCTACACTAATTAATTGATATTTTTTTAATTTTAAATAAAAGATTGAAAAACCGTTCATTACTTTTCATTACCTTTATTTTACGATCATATATACATCATATAAGTTTTAAGATCTCCCAACTGTTTTTGACGAAAATGAGTTAAGTGTCTATCTTAATTCGTTGTTGTTTTTTTCACGCCCATACGAATGGTACTAATTCCAACGAACTATGAACACGAAAATGAGAAAAAAATTACGAAAAACAACACCATCTTATCATTGTTATTCTATGGTGTTGAAAATTTAAGTCAAGACCGCGTTGAAGTCTAGTCTCCTGGATTATTGTTCCGTACAAAGTATACAAAATCATAATAAAAACTGTTATGATAATAATAATAATAATAATAAGGCTTAGCGAACCCGAAGGTTCGATGCCGACACCACCAATCGCTTGTTACACACCTCCCTCCACCGTTCGCCGTCCAAACCCAGTCCCTTCAGATCGGCTTTAATGCAATCTTCCCACCTTCGCTTCGGTCTTCCCCTCGGACGCTTACCATTCGGCACAGCAAATATTAACCTTTCAGGAATTCTCTCGTTACTAAGCCCAACAACTTTACAAGCCCATTTGATTCGCCGTGATGAAATTACCTCAATTATATTACCCGGATACATCTCACGCAATTCGGCGTTGTGTAACCGTCTGAACTCTCCGGTTAACTCATCCTTCTTCGGTCCGAATATTCTACGCAATACTTTATTTTCAAAAACCTTAAGACGCTGCTCATCCCTTAATGTAAGCGGCCATGTTTCGCATCCATAAAGAACTGTAGGCAAGATAATTGTTTTATAGATTCTAATTTTTAAGTTCCGGGACAAGAGGCGCGAACTAAGTAGTTTTGTCACAGAGAAATAACAAGCATTCCCCGCCTTCAGTCTAACCTTAATCTCTTCTTCAATTTCGTTTTTTCTAGTTATCGTAGAACCTAGATACCTAAATTTATCTACCTGTTCAAACATATTACCATCTATATCGATATCACCAGTAGTATCGCCCTTTTTGCAGCTAACCATATATTTTGTTTTATCCACGTTTATTTCGAGTCCTAGTTCTTTACCGGCTTTCATTAACGTTGTCGTATTTAGTTTTATAGTTTCAACGTCTTCGCTTAACAGTACCAGATCATCAGCATAGCCCAGCACGGATGTTGTCCCGCCCAGATCCAACCCTTTCTCGGTTCGCATTACTTCCCTAATGGCATGTTCTAATGCCAAATTGAACAGGACAGGCGAAAGAGAATCCCCCTGTTTTAAGCCCGAACGAACCTCAAATTTTTCGGACAAATTATTACCGATTCTAACTTTATTGAGTGTCTCCGTCAAGCACATCCTGACTAGATTTACTAGTTTTTTTGGAATCCCCTGCTCGATTAGAATATTATACAGTTTCTGGCGGTCAATAGAATCGTAAGCCTTTTTAAAATCTATATACAGCTGGTGAACAATACCGTTATACTCCAATTTTTTCTCTAATATTTGCCGTAAAGAAAATATTTGATCAATAGTCGAACGATTCCGTCTAAATCCGCATTGGTAGTCTCCGATAATTTCCTCGGCGTATTCCGTGATTCGACTGATTAAGATTAAAGTGAATATTTTATAACATACCGGAAGCAGTGAAATTCCTCGATAGTTATTACAATCCGTCCTCGGACCCTTTTTGTGAATCGGAATAAGAATAGATTCTTTCCATTCTTCAGGTAATTTCTCGTTCATCCAGATCTTTTTAACCAACCGATGTATTTTAGAAACTCCAGCTTCTCCGCATGCCTTAATTAGTTCAGTAGGAATATTATCGATTCCCGCTGCTTTATATGATTTTAATTTTCCGATAGCTACTTCAACTTCCTCTTTACTTGGTCCTTCTATTAATGGTTCAGCACTCTGGTACTCAGAAGGAGGACACAGATCCTAATTTACCGTATTTAAAATATTGTCAAAGTGGTCCTTAAACTTATTCAATATGTCAACCGGATCGGTCAGAATATTGTTATTATCATCCCTAATTCCAGACGTTACGGGCCCTACATATTTACGTGATCTGTTTATACCTTTGTACATGTCTCTTACGTTATTTTCGATTCTATTAGTTTCTATTTCAATTATTTTATTTTTAAGATACTCCCTTTTTTTATTTTTGAGCAATTTTGTCGTTTCGTTCTTTGAGATTCGGAAGTATTCCAGATTGTCTTCGCTAGGATTATTTAGAGCTTTTAATTTAGCGGCTTTTCTTTTTTCACACATGTTTAAGCAATCTTCATCAAACCACGGTTTGTTATTCTTATTTTCCTTTTTTCCTAGACACGAGTTACCGACCGCTTTAATATTATCTCTGATCTCTATCCATAACTTGTCAATATCCTCGTGGTCCTCGTCAGGAAGCTCTAAAGCTTCAAACCTATTCTTAACATCTAGCTCGAATTAGTTTCTAATTGATGGATTTTTTAATTTTTCCAAATTAAAATTCTCAAAATCGAAACGGTTTTCTTTTCTCTTTTTTATATTAAGTTTTTGTCGAAGTTTCGCGATTACTAATTCATGATCCGACCCACATTCTGCTCCGCGATAAGACCGTACATTAATTATACTGCTTTGCCAGCTGTGTTGTATCAAGACATGATCGATTTGATTTCGTGTTTGCGAATCCGGTGATGTCCAAGTATATTTATGAATATCCTTATGTTTAAACGTCGTACTTTTAATTATCAGGTTTTTCGAGATGGCAAAGTTTATCAGACGGATCCCATTATCATTACTATATTCGTGCAAACTTTCTTTACCAATCGTCGGAATATAAACTTCTTCCCTTCCTACCTTTGCGTTCGCGTCACCTACAATTATTTTCATGTAGTTTCGTGGTAGTTTATCATAAACCCATTCGAGTTTATCGTAAAATTCACTTTTGACTTCATCGTCACTGTCTTCGGTCGGACAATGTATGTTTATTAATGCGATTTTAAACCAACGTCCCTGAAATGTAGCTACCGAAATTCTATCACTAAAGAATTGTACGTCCCTCAAAGCGGATAGTAATCTACGCCTAATTAGAAACCCGGTACCTAAACAATGATTCCCGCTTCCTCCGTACCAAATAGTGTACTTCCCTTCCCTCATCGAGCCCTCCCCTGGCCAGCGAACCTCTTGCAGAGCCTCGACATCTAAATTGTACCCATTTATCTCATTCGCGACCGATTTTAGCCCCCCTGCTGTGTTTAAACTCCTTACGTTCCACGTACCAATATTTAAATCCCTATATTTCAACTTGCGCCATGAATCCCCTAAAGCAGTCCCCACCCGGAGACCCGAACTGGGGACTAGTTTACCTCCGGATAATGAGCGTTTTACCTTAGGGAGATCCTGAACTGTTATGATACAGATTATATTAGTTAGTGAACGTGAATTATATTTACAAATTGGTAGAAATGGCTAACTTCAACTGAAGTAGTTGGTATCCAGAAGTTAAAGTTGCCCTGATAGTTTTCATCTACGACTCATAGAATATCATAAAATGCCAAGTTTAACCAGCATATCTCTCATTGCGAAGGATGGAGTCGGATTATTTTACGTCTTTCCTTTGATTTTTGTTAAGAAAAAAAATGCTTAATGAGAAAATTTCATAATAATTTTAACTACTGAATTCTTTCCTTACATTTTATAATTTTCTAAAATTAAATTTATTGAATTCTCAGCGGTGAAAAACAAAATTTTAAACACATAAACTTTTACTCTCTAATACCAACTTAGTTCAGATACAAGTTTTGAATCTAGTAATTCAATTTAGATTAAAACCTAGAAGAAAAATCAAGTGCTTTGATTTAAATAAAAATTTCGAGAACCTAAATTATCAAAATCAAATACAATTCAGACAACAAATTTTAACTTTACAAATTTATCCGGACAGCTGTAGAGGTGTAGATAACTTAACAAAATCTTGTACAAATCGATTTGAATTTTGGTACGGAACTTTGTAAATTCCAATTTTATTATTCTGCCATTAAAATAACCCTACAAGTTGAATTTCAGTTCCTTAGATTCGAATTTTTTTTTCGGTATTACATATTTTTGCCAAAATGTTTTAGTATTTGAGATATGATGTTCATATTCGCACACTCACAAACATTTAAATGATACTTGTTTATTTGAACTTATATTACCTTGGAACACGGGACCTTACTATATATATATATATATATATATATATATATATATATATATATATATAATCACATTAAATATACGTATTGACTATATACTGAACAGGACTACTATATATATAGTAATAATATATATAATATATATAGTAAATAATTCTAAATATTACGAATCTAAAGATCATCAGACAAAGATATTAAATTTCTTAAAATGATCCAGAGTGAAAAAATAAATTCATATTGGAAAATAAAAAACAGAATAACGTTCAGAAAAATACTTACAACATAAAAAAAAGGATGGATTAAATTAATAATTAATTAGGTGTGCAAGCAAATAACTAAAATTTAAAATATAAAATCAAAGAATGATTTATTTTTTAAATCAACAACCTATGCATATAATATAAACTGGAAAACCTTCAGTAAAATTAGCTCACCTGCAAACGTTCTCCTATTCGGGTCAACTATATACTTGAAGGCGTTAACCCTTCCTTGAGGAGCTTCCAGCAAGCGTCCCCTATTGGAAGCGTGGGCGGCATTATGGGCGAAGTACAAGAAGAGCGGTTCGTCCGCAGGGTGGTTCTTGACGACCCTCACAGCTTCTTGCCCCCAGACTTCGGTGCTGTACTTGCCGACTATGTCCCAAGCAACACTCCCGTTTCGCCGGGCGTCCAATCCGGTGATGATTTGATCACCGCTCTAAAAAAAAATCAAAGAAATACATAACAATACATCCTATTTTTGTTTTGATCCTTGATATTGAGAAATTTTGTAACTTTTATTTGTTATAATAGAAATCAATCTGGTGGAATCCGTGCATCGAATAACTTTCACATACCATAGCACTTTGAGTACAAATATAATTTGATAATTAACATCAAATTAATTAATATGTTTCTATAATCATATTAATTACCAGCTTAATCAATATGAATATAGAGCCAATTAATTAATATGATATAATAATCATATTAATTATAATACAATCATATTAATTACTCAACGGTTCTCCGAACGACCTTTATTGGTTCTAGGTAACATCTTGCTAACCCTTATTTCTCTTTTAGTTAATTATCATACAAATTCGTAGTTTTTAATTAGTTTACCATTTTTGTTTATAGTAACTGTGTAAAATGATAAAGTATTTTAAATAAATAATATCAAAGTTACTTTAGAGAAAGAAATGTTGATAAATCGGCAGTTAATTTCAACCAGAATATTTCAATAACGATAATACCAGTTTGATATTAAATATCATTATATTTCACACTGCCGTAAGAAATTTGATTAAAATCCTTAGAACAGTTTTTTAGAAAATTGTAAAAATGATTATGTTCAATGATATAAAGTGCCACCTCTAATTAGTCGATTTTAGCTATAAAGTTATAATAAAATATAAATAAAAATATTTAATAAAAAAGTTCCTGTATCAGTCATACGATCATATTAAATTCGTCATTTTTGTACTACTTTTGATTTTCGAGCTAGACTGTTATCTATCTTACAAGCCAAAAGCTGATGACACTATATTTAAACTACTGAATTATTAATGGAGAATAATTGTAATTTATGTAGAGAATTGCCTGAGATTTTAGGAGGTAAATGATTTTTGGAATTTTGTTAGTAATGATAATTCAAATATATTCAAGGGGATTTTGTTGGTGCGTTCAGTCTCAAATAACATAGTGAAACCAAATAAATTATATTTGTTTAATAAATAATAATATAATAAAATAAATTGTATACGATAATTATAATAAAATTAATAATATTATATATAATATAAATAAATTATATTTATTTTTCCAAATATAATTTATTTATGTTTACTTTGTTTCTAAAATCTAACCAAATACTGTTAATTTTGATTTTCAAAGGGCGATATTTAAACTTTCCAACTGTTGTTCCATTGTTCCAAACACAAAAATTAACTCATTAAAAGGTACTATGACTGAAAATTCGTATTTACTACATCCGGCATCATTTATTTCATGGTATAAAAAGGATTGGATGGGTTCTATTCCACGAGATTCCGGCATGATCCTGTAAGAAAAGTAGCCAGAATACAACTGGCATGGAAAACGTGGGGAGCATGTTTCAATCAGAAGTATATCAATAAGATGAAGTCATGAAAACCGGCAATTAATCGGTCAGTTGAGCTAAAAAAAGGGGGTCACTGAAATGAGTCGATTAGTTAGAAAGTCTACCGGAATTAATCCGTTTCCGATTATGACTGAAAAGATTACATAATACGTGAGTACCTTGTTCGATAGTTTCTTTCACTGCTGGTTTCAAAATTGCAAGTGAGGCATGTTTGAGCTACTTGCTATACATTAAAATAACGTTTTATATTTCGAAATGGAACTATATTCAATGAAGGCATTGGAATAGAACCATCTTGGACTTTTAAGCGGATGCATATTTTTTTCGTCTTAAAATAAAAACAATCTATTATCACGAATTAACAAACATGTTTTTTTTCGTTGTAATATGTATTACAAATACATAGATTTAAAAAAATATATTAATTCGGCATTATCTTAGAAGATTATTAGAGGTCATAAAATTTGATTTGAAATTTTGATATCATGTCGACAGTGGACTGGACAAGATCCACCAGTAGCGACTATTGTGCTCTATTCGAGCACTTTCGTCAACATGTTAATACTAATATTTACCTCTTAATTTATTCGTGTAGTTTATAGTGGATCTTAAATGATAGGACCAAATATGTCAGTATTTAACGTTTTACTTCTTAAAAATCAATGAGCTTCTATTAAATTAAGATTGAACATATTTTTTTATAAGTTAGTCTTATTTGTATTAAATAATTATAAATAAAATTTAAAACTAATGAGGCGAAAATGTCAATCATAATAATTAATGTGTAAGTGGCTCGAGTACAGAAGAAGTAAAATGTTTGTTAATTTATTATATATATATATATATATATATATATATATATATATATATATCTTATAGACTTTACTTCGTTTCAAAATTACTGAACTCCTGAGCTATCAGACATAGCTCATTTTAATTTCAGCAGTTTTATTTTATTTATTAGGAACATAAAGCTCCCTATTCATTATTTCCATGCAACTTAGATTTGTTAACATATCTGGACAGACTATATCGTATTTAGTATATCTTAGAAAAAATAATTTTCGTTTTATTATTATTTATGAAATTTACAACTGTACAAATTAATATACATTCAGCAAATGTGATATATATGACATGAAAGAAAGATACAAAGAAATATATGACATGAAAAGGCTAGCAGAGAATCTACCCATTGGTAGTACTCTAATAAAGTATCAAATTAAAAGATCACGATGCCATTTTCTTTTCAGAGGCCTAGGAGTGTTATCAGGGATCGAGGTGAAAGCAAGGCTAGAAACGAGAGGATTAGGATGGTTATGAAGTTTATTATGGAAATATACATATCTGGAATGGGCCGAATCGGAAACATATGGAACGTTAAGGTCGTTGTGGATGATTTTATTTGTGGCAAAGTGGGAACATCGACGATTTTACGAAGGATTTTGGATTGTAGGGATTGACTACGAGAGGAATTTGATGGTTTAGTACAGCCCCAAAGCTCGACTCCGTAAGTCCAAATAGGCTTTATTATGGTCATGTGTATGAGTCGTATGTAATTAATTGAACGCTTAGAGCGTTTGTCAAGTAAGTGCTGTAGTTATTCGGAAACGTCGAGCGGTTTCTTGCCGTTTCAGTTTGGTATGAGGATTCCAAGATACACGTTTGTCCAGGTGTAGTCCTAGGTAGCCAAAATATTAATTTTCATTTTTGAATTTTACCTTACATTTTTAACATATAACTTCTTTCATGAAATTAATGAAATATAGTGAATTTTTAATCGATATGAAATGTATTAGAAGATTTGGAAAATTAAAATAAAACAAAATAAAATGCAGAATACATAAATTAATACTACCACTGTAATCATTATGAAAGTTTGAAGAAAAAAGAATGGTAATTGCAAACTTTACTTAACAATTTGGAATAATACTTAGTTAACTTTCCATGCAAATTACATTAATATCCTTCATTTTTTTTAATTAAAGTAAAAACTTTTTTTGAGTAATCAAAAAAGATTTAGAGTTTAGTACGTTGGGTATTATTATTTGGGTATAAGTAAAGCATCTATTTTTGAAAAAAAGATTGGTTATAAAAAATGAGAAACTTCTTGTGTTAAAAAATAAATAAACAAGGATCATTAAAAAGTAGAATTGCTTACTCTGAAGTCAGTTTTGATTTAAGTGATCAAAGGTATTTATTTTCATCATGGTCCCGTAAGATGGAGATAAAAGCAACAAAAAAAAAATAATAAGAAAAATAAACTAAAAAGTTTTAAAAATATTAACAATGTGTAAAAATAGTTATATGCTTTTTTTATCACATCTTTGTTTATTATTTGATTGTGGACAAGAAAAGTTTGTTTCCTTTGTTAAACGAACAGTTAAATTTTGTGTTTTACAAATTTCTTATGCATAGAGCAATTCGGTTAACTAAACTAAAAAAATAAATCTTCTAAAAATATTTTTATGGGTAGAATATTCTTCAATATGTAAAGAAAGAAATGGTTTATATTTAAATCAGTTGAGGATACTTTAACCTTTGATGTGTGATATATTTATTTTTGAAATAATATTTCTGATACATCATTTTTCGTTACTACGAGTAATCGAGGCGAATTTCATATTATATGTCAAAAAACATATGTTTATTCAGTAATGTATATTGAGTCAAAATAAATTGTTCAATAAATATGCAGTTAAATTTGCGAACAAAAATTAAATCTCTGTTGAAAAAAAAAATATCATTAATTATCTGTTATCCATCTTTAATAACAATTTTTTTAGTTTTAAATATCTTACTTGCATTCTAAATAAAAATATATGAAGACAAAGCAGATTTTAAAACATACCTGTACATGGTACAAAAGTATGAAGAAATTTTAGATGAAGGACTAGTAAGAAAATTTCTCGCACTTCCCCTCCTCCTCATCCGCCAAAAAAAAATCTATTAAATGATTGAAATAAAATTAATTATAGTATAAAAGTCTACAACTAAATCACGGAAAAAGATTATTTTGTTAAACCGACTAGAACCAGGTTCCTTTCTTTAAGCTTTCCCTTCAGTAATTGAAAACATTGTTGTCATCACTCTAGCTTAATTAAATTTGGGTACAGTTTTTCTTTTCTTGTTTTTTTATATATTTTTTTCTATGTAGCCTAATTTATTTCAATAATGAAGAAAATTAAAATCATTATTATCTGACAATCTGTGATGTTCCAACCAGCTATAACATGGTCTGACAAGAATGGTTATGAATGCTTTTGTTCTAAATTATCACTGTGGTATATGTTTTCAATTAATACAATCGCCTACGTTTTAAATTAACAAAATTATTATTAAACAATATTTTGGTTAAATTATTATTGTAGGAGAAATAAAGCAACTATTGTAGCAATAGTATAGGGCAGTCAAATTATGTTTGGTTTATTTTTAGTTTCATACGTGCATTTAGATGTTTAATTACTATAAATCTTTTTTGTATTTTGTGTTTTCTTTTGCGTTTTTGTTTTTCCAGAAGATGCATGAAGCAGATTTTCTAGTAATGTCAGAAGACTTTCTTTTATCAACAAATATGCAGAGCGAAGTTCTGATTTATAGAATTAATGTTGGAAAAATATGTAAGGATTAATTTCAATTTGTTTATTTCAAGTGCATAATAGATGTTGGCTATGTTGAAATGATTAATATCATTATCGAAATGTCTGATCAAAAAATAATATTGGTGGCTATTTTATTATAATTTTCTATTTTGTATTTACGAAATTTAAAATTTCCTTTAAATCTCTTATTCGTTTCTACATTATATAATAATAATTTTTCTACATATCTTATTTAATTTTCTTATTCAATCAGTTTCAAATTTTCTTCGGTATTTCGGTAGAATTATTTTAAAGAGTGTATTTGTTGTTTGACATTATATAATTGGAGTGCTACCAATGGATAGTATCTCCTCATGTTGTACATTTCAAGTTAATTATTTCATATTTACTAGTTGTATTTATCATTATACAGTTGTATATTTCAATAATAAAAAGAAATATATTATTCATCTAAATTTTGTTAATTTGAGACCAAGCTATTCAAAGTTGAATTGCTTAAAGGATATTCAAAGTTGAATAGCTTAAGGGATATTCAAAGTTGAAACTATCTTCAATAGTTTCCGTTTAAATGTATTCATTCCAAATCTAAGGATTAATTAAGGTGTAAAAACCGACATTAATCCTTGTCACATTTCGTTACTCAACAACTTATTAGGTCAGGCCGTAGGGTTCTTTTAGCAAGTGAACTAAGCCGTTGTAAGTGACCGGCGTTTTCGAAAGGTGCCGAAGAGTTAAGAAACCTCTTGTTCTTATCGTATTTCCTCAGCGCTTACACCGCTAAAGTAATGTCATATCAATTATTTCATCATACAAATAAACAAACAGTTATAGTTTTTATTATAACTGCTACTTTATTTTGTTTTTCCTAACAGGGATGAGCTTTGGGTCGACAACTCCAACGAAGCAGAAAAGTAGATAAATGCATCATCCGCTGTAGCCAGTGGACCGTTTAGCTTCATTGCGTTTGTTATGTCAGAAAATCTCTCGGTTTTTCCCGAGCAGTTAGATTCTTGGCTAACCTCTGATCTTGTGTTAGACACTATTTTAACTACCTATTTCTGAGGTTATGTAAATATACAACCGAATCAATTTCTGCACCATTTATACCGTTTATAATATGCTAAATGGGGCGAAGAACCTTCAAGAAATGATATGATCAGGAACTGACCATATGTTATGGTTGAAATTTCAGAATAAAGTTGATATTTAAATCATTATTATTAACAGTTCTTATTTTTATTTTATTTTCAATCTTCCTTGCCTTACTGCAATATGGGTTTTGGTGAGCGTAGCGTAATAAATAATTTATCTATCACGCTACACCTGCCATTTAT